TGAATACCCATCATAACCTGTCAGTCTAGGTTCATTAAAATTTCAAACTCAATAAAAAGCATGACTTGTATTACGTAATCTTGTATGCTTTGTTTAGTTAATGAACCTAAATAAGCATTTTAGACAAGTTTGAATGATGTTAGAATGATCGCTGCGCCCAGAAGTTGAGTCGCCTTCTTTTTGATGCGTGCCAAATAGCCCCTCTCTCCTTCCCTATTTTATCCATAATCACGCATTTTCATGGTAAAGCATGAATGTAACCGAATAAGGAAATCTATTATCCTCTATAGCTATGGAAAATAAATTTGCAAACGGTAGAAAAAAAATTACATTTGTATCAACTTTGCATAGTTTTTTGTGACATTAGCAAGATTAATAAGTAGAACCTCCTTATAACTAAACACTATAAGGTATAGATTCTCGAGATATTAAAATTCTCCTCTTTAATCTCAGTAGGCTTGTGACGCAAAGGCTTCTCCCTCACAAGCATTAAGATAAACTATTTTCATATTTGTGTTTTCATATTTGGTATGTTATCACACACGGCATACAAAAACGATAATTGTGACATGACTTTCCAGCTCTAAGAAAAGGTTTTTTAGAAGGAATTTATAAAATGGTCTCATCGAAAACCAAGTTTGGATTCTTGTATGGACGATATCTGCTACGGCAATACAGACGAAAGCTTGACACAGGTTCACCGGAATAGCAAGGCAGTGGGTCGAGGACCTCTACGTACAATCCAACAGTCGTCATTTCGCAGCAATCCATCAATGGTTTTTGATAAGAGCATTCTACGAATTTCTTCCAACAAACATTTTCTTCGAAAAAGAATATCATGTCACAATATAAAAATGAGAAACTCTTCTAAAACCAGCTTCTAGTCTTCTGAAGACTACGGAGTTCAGCCTGAAAAGGAAAAAAAACTTTATAAACTTGGGCGAAATCTTCTTGGGTCTATTAGCAGACATAAAGATCAGGAGATTGCTATATCAAAGGTATTCCTGAGAAAGAGTAAGAGGCCTAAATTGACTCAAATCTCAATAGGGTTATCAAACAAACATTATTTAAAAAATATATAAAGATAACACAGGCGGATACGAATATGTTACGATGGATCTCCTATAATAGGATTTATAACGAGACTTTTATTACGTAGAATAGTACAGGGAAAAGAGATTTATTGGTTGATCTCGCCAGAGGACGACGCCTGATTCTCTTATGGAGAAGAACTGATTTTGAAGAATTCATTAGCGAATTATTCTGGCATGACTCTCCATTTCGGTGGAAAAGTTGGTTGAAATGAATTCGTGTTGTAGTCTCACTAAAAACCGAGCGAGAATTACTGCGTTTGAAAAACTGTTGAACTGTGTGAAGAAGTCCTTGGCTCACCGTCTTGCAGCCCCGATGAAACTGTGTTAAGCTTTCGTCTTTACTATGACATACATTAGAACAAGATTCCATACTTCACGAAATAGATAAAAAATATATTACACTAAGAGAAAAGGTGAAATACTGTAACCACAGTCGCTTTTTTATAAACCTAACATCGCGATCTTAATGAGGCACCCCATGAATTGGTTGGCTAATTCAATCTTACTCTACATGCTTGCAATTAAGTGAAGTTAACTTTCCGAACCGGAAATACGCTCAGTGGCAGCTGTTTCATCACACAACAAGTTAGCGTACGGTCGTCTAACATTAAATCCCGTTTGGGCTTATGCTATTGTCTATTGTGTGTATGTAATTCTAATATCATGTGAAGTGTGATCAGCCTTTCTAGATTCGAGGCATATCCAGCCTCCTTCTCTTGGTCAGTGTCTCTTCCAACACCCTCTCTTTCTCCCTTTACTTAAATCTATCCAACAGCTAAAAATAATTCTACTTAGTTTTCTACACTCGTTTCATTTATTCAGGAAGTTGACCATTTTCTTAATTGATCTACGAAACTCTTCATCATACACTTTTATACGAATTGAAAGTTTCCCAACAAATTTAACTTGAGATTCATCAAAGCATTACATATTAATATTAATATTTAAAAAATTGCAAATTAAAATAGTAGGTATGCATCTACACTTGCACAATTTGGTCACATTTGATAATAAACTATGTCCAAAATCAATTCCTTCATTTGTTGCTTCTAGCGCCTTTTTCGATAAAATGGATCATAGCATTGATTACGTTAATCTGTATACTGTCATCAATAATAAATTAAAAAAGTAGCCTTTATATTATTTAAAACTTAGGCGCTTGTTTAAGAAGCCAAACGTAACAGAGGCCAGTGAAGATTTTTGTAGGTCCGGTTTTATACAATGAATGTTACAAATATATAACATTTACTGATGATTTTACTGTAATACTTATTTCTCTTTTAATAATGGATATTGAATATATTCGACATTTAACAATTCCTTTGTATAATGTGATTTCACTATCACCTTCAAGGGTGTATATTTTCTTGAAATTCAGGCCTCCCCAACTTTAATAAGTGGAAATATCACTTTAAGTAATTAGCTTAATACTCCCACATTCTTTCATGCTTACCTCTTTTAAGCGGATATCTGCTTTTTGCTACCCAAATGTGTTGCCTTATCTAAATGCTACGACCTATGAGCCTTATGCCATTTCATTTATAGGACTCTTTATGCGTTCTTCCCCTATGAATTCCATATTTTATGTTATTGAGTTTGTATTATAACTAGTATTTGAAATCTTTATCTATTTCAGCTGACGTCTCCAAACATTTAATTAGCGAGGAATGCCCTGACTATGCCGCAGTCTTTCTTCTTTGCAAAGCAAAGTATGTTTCGTTAAATTTATAGCTAAAAGGTGTGAATCTTCCTCAAATAACTCTATAGGAGAAGCATCTTCTCTGGTTTCCTGTGCACTTCTATTTTTACAAGCTGAAGATAAGCTTAGAGACACTGCCTCCATTACATATGGAGAAAATTCGGATGCTGCATTCATGTGCCTATCTAAAGCCGCTAAGGTTCTTGAATATTTGTATGACTTCTATCTAGATTTATGAGTGTAATAATTATCCCACGTTGGCGGCCAACGTTTACGGTTTCATGGGAGATTCCCTACTTGTATTCCATTTTTACTTATGCATTCTCTAGCGCCTTAATCAATATAGTGATGCCATGCAAAGCTATCGAAAAGTTTGTGAGCTGCTTGCTTGTGATACACTTCAATGCCTACATGTATGGAACAAATATGCCACCTGCCAACTAAGGATCCGTGAGTTAACTTGGGCCTTATTTGTCTTCAGGGGATTTCATAGGTTGTCTTCACACCTATTTAAAAATTCAAAGCATAATAAAGGTGGACTCTGGTTGGTTGTGTTTATTACTTATTTGTTTAGCAAATGAGTTCCAATATTATGGCCAGTTTGCCGACTACTTAGTTTCCTCAGAAATCTTCCGCGTTCTTTTGATAATGTTGACAGAAGTAATCTACTGTTTGCTAAATTGATATTTAGGTTACCGAATCATTTGACAGCGGTTATTCTCTCAGCATTTATTCTTGTGATGATATTTATTCACCTCAACTATTTTTCCCTCATATGGAAACCTCTCTTTTTATAGCGTTGCAATCACTGGTGGTGAGTCAACTATACTATATATATATATATATATATATGTGTGTGTGTGTGTGTGTGTGTGTATATATCAAGGGCTTGATTTTAATATTTATTTCGATGAATTACCTCAGCTTTCTTTGATGTCTTCCAGTTGCTTTTGATATTTTCTTGTTTAGCTCGCTCACCAAGCGAAAAATCCTTCTCAGTTTGAATTTGCAGCCTCATCCATACAGCGGTACTTAGATATGGACCAAAGGGATATTATGATGCTTGCCCTTGATAATATGATTAATCCCAGCGGGGATACTTTTTGAAAAAATATGATCACTATGATGCTGCAAACATCTCATTATCTCTCCTAGAAGTCGCAATAAAATGTTTTTTATGTTGAATCTTCTCTTTCTTACTTAACATGGGAATTTTACTCTGATAAATCACTTGATTCATAGGAAGGGCTCTATTGCAAGCCGTTTCAAGAAAGATTTCCTTTGAACTGAGACGCATTTATCCTATCTTGGCCCTAGATGAGCATACTTCTGTACGAATTCGTCTGAATAGCCATCTAAGCATTGCTTATTTGATTAAATTAATATGTTAAGTGGATGGACTTTGAAAACTCACTTTCGTTTACCCGCTTGGTAATTTTGTTTTTCGAGAATCGCTAGGACAACAGTGAATTCTACTTTTTATTCTTGGAATAATTTTACTAAGCTGTGTTTTATCAAATAGCCTCAAGTCTTAAATGTCTATTTGTGGCGTGTTTAAGATTATATTCATTAGGCGATGCATTTTTTCCTTCATTTGCTAAACGATTTATAGTAAGTTCTCCATAGTTATTTTGTGATTGGTACGTCCCCGCAGGAT